AACAGGTTCTCGGTCAGAAAGCGTAACGGTCGCACATACAAACAAGCAGAATAATAGTATAGAAGATAGTTGGCTAAAGCTTGAAGTTTCTGTTAAAAATTAATTACAGTCAGTTCACTGTTTCTTAGCAGCAAAGTGTAGAGTAGTGACAGTTTGGCAAGTTCTTCTGTTGAATCTATTAAGTATTTTGTATGTGAAATTTCAAACAATTTTTATTTGATTAAATGGCATGTCTCTTCTCCAGTTTTAGAGACAATATGTTAAATACATTGTATTGACTTTTAACTTTTCTAAGTAAGATCTCAGTTCAATGCCTATATTTTCTCTATAATTCAATAAAAAGCTATAGACTGTCTTACCTTCTGGGTGAGTTCTTTATTCAACAATTGTATTTCCTCTATAATTCTTATTCTTTGACTATCTCTTTCTTCTTGCTGTGACTGAAATGTTTTCATCTGGTTCTCAAATTTATGTGGGTCAAACTGATTTTGAAGCTTTTGCTGAGATGAGATCTTGTGAAGGACTTGTACTCAGTAACAGATAAAATTTATTTTCATAACCACAAATGTTAACTAAACCTAACCATAACAACAACAATGATGCTCACTAAAATGTGGAAGATTTTGAAGAACTTAAATAAGATCATTAAAAGGAAAGTAATTTTATGACTTACACATTATCAGACTTGTTTTAAAAAGAAATGCAAACCACAACACAGATAAAAAATCAAAAAGGATACCAAATGTCTTTTCTTTGCCTGGATCACTGAATTAAGTCGTTCAATACACTCAAGGTGCTTCTTTCTTTCTGGTCGTTTAATCAATACACCTGATAGGAGATAAAACAGAAATCACTAGAGTGAACTCTCGTGATTTTTAATTCATGTGTAAAGCTTAGGCATCACAGGGAACTTTTGTGATGATACAAGACATAATGAAAAGCACTGGCTGAAAAAGGCAGATAGTTTTTCTTAAAGATACGTTAGATATCAATTGATACATAAGTGGTGAAGGCTGAGCCCAAATGATATGGGAGTTGATGAACATGACCAAATGTACCAAATATAGGGCAGGCATAAGAGCAGCCTCCCACGGAAGAATGCAGGTGTGAGAGGAGTCCTCTGAGAAGGGGTGAGGAGATGCCAATCATCCATGTAATAATGGAACCTTAGCCCCAATCCATAAACAGGGCAGATGAC